ATTTAACACCTAGATATTTTTTCTTTTGTTTTAGTACGGCAAGAAAAATTCTCTTAATTTCATCGGTCACGTATCTAATTATATTTGACAAAAACAAAGTACGTCATTTATTTTATATATCATATGATTTTTACCTGCTTGTTCATAATTATCTTTCATTTGTGATAACATTAATGAACGTTGTTGATTTAATTGATAGTGTAATTGACTTTTACTAGTACGACGATGACGATGTTGTTTGTCGGATGATGGTGATAAACGACGTAACTAAGAGAAAATTCATAAGTCTATTAGTTTTAGTTTAATAAAATACGTGTAATACATAACAAATAAATAGTACTACGCAGCTGATTTTTACACATTGATGAATTAAAACTTGTATTTTAACTGTAATTTAGTCCTATTGATAAGTAATATGATAGTTTTCATCAATATATCGTCGAGACTTTGTATATTTAATCGTCGAGAAGTTCTATTTACATTATGTAATTGACCTTGGTCTCATGTTATCTCATATTCAAAGATTTTAATACTTTTATATAAAACTGATGTATAGACAAGTTAAATGATTAGGAAAATAATCGATTTATACTAATGACCTGACATTATTTTAACAATAGCAGATGAATAACCTTCGATGCCGAATAATGTCCTTGCAATAGAAGAACTTTAAACTTTCACGGGTAAAGAAAAAAAGAGACCTTGTCTCACTTTATTCCGCAAGATAATTTAGATACAATTGTAAAAATTCTTACTGATGCATCATCTGGTGTTAATCGATTTGATGAATATTTTTTTATTGATTCATCACAAATCTGTTCAGAAAGATTTGATAATTGTTGACAAACACTTTGATAACGAATTTCTTCTGGTTGAACTTAACAAAAAATCAAATTTATATTTTATTTCGAAATTCAAATAAAAAAAGAATCTACTTTTTTCACTTTCATTAGCACCATAATGTAAAAGAAGTCGTACCATTGGAATATTATTAAGCATAATAGCTATATCCAACGGACACCAATCATAATCATTATATCTAAAAAATAAATTTATTTTCTAACAAAATTTTTTGTTTTTTTACGTACGAATTAATAATATTTTCATTTGTTTGAATTAAATGTTTCGTTCCAAGAAAATCCGATTCTTCAACTGTTTGAAAAATATCTTTACAAAAATTGAATCATAAAATTTTAATTAAAAAAAAAACTATATTTATTTTTTACTTTCAGTTGAAATTTTATTATTTGAATTATTAGCTGATGTTATTTTTAAATTATTTCCATTGGAAATATTTTTAACATCAACAACTTTATTAAATGATATACTTCCAGTTGTATTACGACGTTTTGATAAATAAGAATTTAAATCAGATTGTTGACTTTTTGATAATGCTTTATTAAATAATGGTACTAATAATGTTTCACCACCATTTTGTTTCGAATTATTTGCCGATGTTAAACTAGCACATGATTGTTTTTTACTTAAAACATTTGTTCGTCGTCGATTACTAATTGAAAAAATATAAAAAAACATTGATAAAATTTGTTTCGTCTTCTATTGACGTAATTAGTCCTTGTAGATGTATATTGTTTCTCGATTTGAAGACTCAAAACAATCTTAATCTGTTTTGCTAATCAATGTCAATGGCTTTAGGCATTAGAAGTCGACCAAACAATTAAGTAAAGCCTTATCTATAATTAATCTAACTAAGATATTATCTCTGATGTAAAACAAAAATATCTTACAAAAAAATTTTTATTTCGATTTAAACTAATTTTTTTTTCTATATAATATTTTTTTTTACTTACGGAGATTGTTCATTTGTGAGAATTGTTGTTGATACATTATCATCAGACTAGAATAAAGATAAATATAAGAATACAACCTTAGTAATACGGATAAATATTTACAGAAACACCAATTGCATAAGGACGAGTTTTTGGACTAAATTGTCTGAAGAGTAATTTTTGAATAAGATTAGGACTACAAGATGGAACTGTAGGTTTTTGTTCATCTGAACAACAACAAAAAAACATATATAAATAAAAAACAATTTTGTTTTTTTCTAAAACCTTTGGTTCCATTTGAATTGACAGATGATAATTCAAATTTAACAAGTGATAATCGCCGTGAATATTGAGTACGTTTTTTATTCATTGATGTTATTTTGGTTGGGATTATTTTATTTTCATTAGATTCAATTTCTTCCGATGATATATCATATGTTGTTGATCGCCGAAATTGATGTCTAAAGCAACTCATTTTGATAAATTTTTATATTCAAATAAACTTCTGTTATGTTAAAGCCCTTTCCAGACCGGTCATTAAAAAAAATGCCGTACCCCCCCTAAGGAAAATCTTGCCATTTGACAACATCCGGACTGAGAGAATTAAAAATAAATCATATCATTAAATCTATTTCTGTATATAATATGTATATATCATGAATCTATATACGACTCAAGTATTAAATAAAGATAAAGTAATAGATGTTTTATATGTACATTATTGTCAATCTTAAGTGATATTAACTTATTGATTGATAGCAAGTTGACCTATGATAAAATACAATGTCAATGGATTCATTCATGTAAAAATATATAACTTTCTGTTATTATGTCAAAGAAGCTCTAGATCATGGATAAGAAGAATAATAAAAAATATTTTTTTTGATTAAGGTCATGATGATAAGCAAGTTTTTGTTCAAATAAATATATATATATGGACGGGAAACATAAAATAATTATTTCCGTTTATGATGTTGATAAAAAAACTGATCTAAAGATTTCGATGAAACTATGTAAAAATAATATTTCAATACGTGTCAATTTTCTAATCCGTAATAACTCAAGCATCGTGTATATATATATTATCAATAGAAATAGAATAATATTCATTCTAAAGATTTACTATTTCATATACAATTAAAACACCGACCTTCTATTTGCAGCTTTGTCTGTTGAAGTCAGCATTTGTTGACAACGATAACGAAAACGAGTTATACTTGTAGATCGTTTTGTTTTTATATATTCAGTATCAATGGGTGATCGTGTTGTCATCGTAGTATTCATATGAGGAAAAGAATGAAGCAGCAAAAATATCTGCGTGTTGTTTTTCAAGGTGTTATAGAGTCAAATGAATATTTTCTTGATTATTATATGTGTGTGTGTTTTTTTTAGTAGATACATCGGATATAATAATGTTCATCAATGACTTTAATAATACGAAGATTATATATACATACGCACATTAATACGGAAAAAGATTATTAATAACAAATTGATTTCTAACAGGCAAATAAGGATGAAATATGAGTATGATAAACGCATTTTACCGTAAAATTATTTCTTCTTTTTTTTTGCGTCGATGGGAAAAAACATATCTTATGTGCATATAGAAGAAAAACTATTTGTTTCATGATCAAAATAAGAAGAAAAAAGAAAAAAAACTAGAAACATACATCTTTTGACACAAAATATTATGACATAAAAATATAGATGATTGACAATAAAAAATATATATTTTTCGTCAATGTCTATTATATATCATTTATCGTTGTCATTTTTTTACTATACTACAAACGGAATTATTATATTCAGTAACAAAACATTTTTAATCAATTGTTTTTTTTATAGAAAAAGAAAAAAACACAATATCAAATGATTAAAGAAAAATATGCTAATTGTGTCTTAAAATAATAGTAATGAAATATATTGATTTTCTTTTATCATCGAAATAATTTTTACCTTGATTAATTAAAATAATATCAGATTAAGTCTATAGCAAAAAAAAAGTAGAATAGATTGTTACTTTTATGTGTCTAACTTCTATACAATATATCTCAATATCTACATTGATCAGAGTCAATCAAAATAGTTAATCACGAAGGACAAGCACAACAACAATAACAACAACAACAACAACAACATCAACAACAACAACAGCGATCGATCAGTTATCTTCCAATGTTTATGTTACTGAAAAACAAGCATCTGTATGTATATACATATGGTTTGTTGAAATCAACCGCTTTTTCTCATTAGTTACGTGATACGTGTTTCCAAAATAATGTTTATATTTTTAGATAAATTGTCAACATGGTATAATTAAATATGAACAGGAAATCAAAAATTAATGTTAATTTTATCTTTAAAGAAATCGATTGTCTTTAATAGGATAAGATGTACATTAACTTGTACCAGTTAATTCAAGGTTTTCTCTCTCTCTGTCTCTCTTTCTCTTTTCTCTCTCTCTCTCTCTCTCTCTCCTATCATCGTATCAAGGAAAAATATAATCTCAATCATCAATTGCGTCATCTCTTAGACAGTCAGTCAGTCAGACAAATAAATAGCTACGTGCCATTTTGTCAATAATATATCAAAGGATTTATTGTAACATGTGCATAAACAAATAAAAGTCAAATGGCTAGACTTGTAATCAAGGATATTTGCCTACCTCCATAATTAGCAAAACTAATAAAACCTTCATATTCAATCGTTTTTGATTTGCACATGTGTTGGATTATCTCAACACGATAATAAATATCGTCTATCATAGACAACGATTAACTGATATCAATTAATCGGATAGAAAAAACAAAAATCGAATTATATGTTATATAATGAAAAGAATTTGTTTTTTATTAATATTTTATAATGAATAATTAGTTTTCGAGGTTTCATTTCTAATATATCGAATTTTCTGCTTGACACAATAACGAAATTATAATAATCACTTATTCTTAAAATGATCTATTAATATTCTAACTTCAATCATTTCTTTCGACTATGCACGCTTCAAATATATTCTACTTTCGTTTATTTTGCTAACAGAGGAAAGATTCTAGAAGTCATGTTCATTATTTCCGCTATAATGATACGACATTATTCATCATATAGAGAAGAAAAAGAAGGAATCTTTTTATTTTTTTCTCGAAGGTAAACTATGACTTTTCTTACGTGAGTAATGAAAAGAGGAAAAAACCTTGCATGATACTTTTATTTCCGATGAACTGACCTTTTATTAGTTATAATTATTGGTGTAATTCGTGTTGTTAGAGGATTCTTTCCTCGGATGCTATCACGTACATGTCGAAAATCGTTATTTCCAAGCTGACGTTGATCAATTTCACCATAGGATGAACGTTTTTTAATTTTTATTAGTTGTGAATTTTTCAATGAGGGACGACGTTGTAATAAATATTGATGATCATCAATGACTGTTGGTGAACTAAAACGAGTTTTTAAATGTTCTTGCCACCATCGATATAATTTAATCCAGTTATCCGTAGTAGACATATTCTACAAAAAGAAATGAAAAAAAAATATTAATTGATGATTAGGTGTTCTGTTATGAAAATCTGATAATTTTCTCCTGTTATTTGTCATTATTACGAAACACTAAAAGTGATGACAAATAAGAAACAGTTCAATACATAGTTGCCACTCGTTGTTTCTACATACGCCGAGAGTAATAAGAGAGAACGCGGAAGAGAGAGAGAGAGAGGGAAACAGAAATCAATAGTGACGTTAACTTAGAAGGAAGTAAGCGAGAGTTAGTTATTGGTATAGTTTATTTATAAATGAACATATAACCTTCATATATGTAGGTCCATGTTGAATTATTTATTTTTTAAAAGAAAAACGAGAGAATAAGAAACTTGAATAATTATCGTTTGCTTATCATAAAATAGAAGTAACAAGGATAAGCTTTTATTTTACATCGTTATTAAAAATAAGTAGGTAGATGATTTCATAAGAAAAAAAGGAAAAGAGGAAAAAAAAAATAATTGCATCATTGCATCAATGAGCAATCTACCAGAAAACAAACGGAACAGATATATGATGTGTTCAGCGCAATTTTATCAAAATGGAAAACAAACTAGCCTTCATCATGATCATCATCATTATATATATATATATATATAGATATATATAGATATGTTGAATGAGAATAAAGAACAAAAAAAAACTAAATGGTTTAAGATAAGAAAACGATAGAGACATCAACCTTTGCTCTGACTTATACTAAATTATTATCTAGTATATCCACCAAGAAGAACATATGGATATAGTGTTAATTGTGCCAATAAATAACATTGTATAGAAAGTCGAGATCAAGGAAAATGAAAGAGAGAGAGAGAAATAGAATCCATATGTGTTAGGTAATATCTCATTGGGATTGTATCTATATAGATATGTTGATAATTTTTACTCATCATCACTAATAAAAAATATACAATGATCAAAAACTAAATTCATAATTACACATTTTTTAATTACTTAAACATATATGTACAAGAAAGAAATTCATTTTCCAAATAACTATAATACTTCATCAATAGTATGATGATGATGATTGCGAAATATTTTGTCAAGGATAAGTAAAGAATCGATAGACAGCAATGAATTTAATACTCTATGATAAATATATATATATAAAATGGTAGACATTTTCTGATTAGTTCTAACCGTTTCTATAAATTATTTCATATTAGATTAGGCTCTTAATTTAGCTTGTGTATATTACAAGTATTTAGAAAGACAGATATGTAATATTTTGATTTCTATGAAACTATTACTGAGCTAATAACATAGAAGACTATCAGTTAATAGATATAAAATGATTAGTGACCTTGTTTTATATCTATACTAATTGAATTCCAAAGGGTATTAATCATCTTAGTGTTATTCTTTATAGATAGACGATGAACAACAGGAAATTATATTAGTTAGAACAAATATGAACATATATATATACCTAGAAATATTCTTATTTAAACTTACAAGATAAAATATAATGAACAAATTTCTTTTGTAAATCAATAAGGTTTTTATGTTTGTCGTCGCATGACAAAATGAATTTAATATGTTGTCAACACGATTGTAATATTTATATTTTTGAATATATTCCGGATATATCAATCAAACTATATTATATTAATATGATATAGGAAATCAATATGTCATTGAATTGAATTAAACAATGTAAATGAATTGAAAAACAAAAAGAAGAAGAAGAGAAGTTGATATGACTTAATATGTGGGGTAATCAAATATTGTTTAGCTGTAATAATTGCTTTGTATTGATTTATGTTAATGTTAAATATTAGAAGCCATAAATTGTTGTCAGTTCTATTTGCGAATTGTCAATTTCTTGTTTTCAAGAAAGATTTGTTATTAATATCAAGGACTAAGTTGTGTTATATGTTGCAAAATAAATAGAAAAATAAAAAAATACGTTGTTCTGTAGAATGTGTATGGCAATATGTTTTCTTTTTATTGTCTTACTTAGAAATGTTTTCTAGATTCTATCAAATATAATTTTATTATTTATTAAAAAGTTTTTTTTTTATATCTGTAATGGTATTTATCTGTATTAGTTAGTTATTAATAGTTTAATTGATACCGTACATAAATTATCAATATTAAAATCTCAACTTTAAAAATTATGTTTTGTCATTAAAATGATAAGATTTTTATTGAATTCATTTTATAGAAGACTCTTTTTTTTTAATATTGTTCATCTCGATAAAGTCAATATTTTATTTGAGATCAAACGAGTGATTTATATATCATATTTAGATATCAAACTGATAATCACTTATATAATAAAATATATTTATAAATCAGATTTTTTCTAACATCGATTATTTTGTGATTTGATATATGGAGGTTTTTTTTCATTGATCCGTAACACCTATTATATGTTGTTTTAGATTAGAAAATCTGTCGAATGCTTTTGATAGTAATTTTTTCAATAACAACAAAACAGAGATGTGTGATATTTATCATTAGAAATTGTAAGCATACAACGTTTGTTTATATTAAATGATCCATGAAATAAACAAGATATATCAGTTGTTATTCATGTATATTTCTAAAAATGCTCATACTGAACTGAAAACATTAAAGATTTCTTTCTGAATTTTCTTTATAGTATATATTTCATTTCAATAAAATATCTGACTAATGATATAAACTATTTTCGTACAGATTAGGAGTCTTTAGATTTGTATGATTAAAAGATTATAGATGAAAAAAAAGGCAATGATTTATGACTTGAATAAGTGCAAGAACGAAAAACTAAATTTTTTTTATTGACATAGTTCTTTCGTGTATATTTGTTAACAAGACAGATAAACAAAAAGGTTTTTTCTCTTTTTTTTTCAAATATAATACACGAAGAACACAAACACATATGAATGAGAGAGACAAACAGCAGAAAGAAAAAGAGAAAAAAAAGAAACTACACAACAATCATGTAGATAAACAAAAGAAGAGAAAAAAAAAGAAAACGTCTATCTAATACCTACAAAACTGAATTTGACTGATATATGATCAGTGAGACATCAGTAGTGAGAAAAAGAGAAAGACGTTCAACGTCACACGCACAAGAAGAAAAACAGTTCATGTGTGAATATATGAATGCTAATAGATTGTTTACTCTCTTGATTCATCTTCACCTTCATCATCATCATCATCTTCAACAACATCTTTTGATTCATCATCATCACCAGCGGCTTCTACATCGCTACCAACTAAAATAGAAATATATTTCATAGATATTGATATACCTGACTACACATATAGTAATAAATATAATTACCATCATCACTTTCTCCTTCACTACCTTCACCTTGTTCTTTAAAATCTAAAGAAAGACAAAAAATAAAAATAATTTAATTAATAATATTATTCTTTTTTTTGTTTCAACAAACAAACCATCATCATCAGAATTTTCATCATCATCATCATCATACTCAGCTCCTTCATCAGCATCGCCTAAAATATAAAATCTATATTTGCATTTGGTGTTTTTAATAAAAAAAAAGATTTAATTACCACTAGCAGCAGCTGCATTAGTTGAAGTTGCTTTTCCATTTCGTTTTGATGATCCTTTAGCATTAACTTCTACACTATTTGAATCATCATCTAATTCTTCATGTGAATCATCATCATCATCATTACGTGATGATTTATTTCTTGTTGTTGATGTTGCTGCTTTGACTGGTGTAGATTTTTTTTTTGAACTAGTTGTCGTTGTTTCAGCATCTCCATTAGATTCATCATCGTCATCATGTGTACGCTAATAATAATAAGAAGAAAAACAAAGAAAAAAAAAAAAGTTTATTTTGTTTTATTACATAATATATCGAACTAAGAATTTAATTCATACCTTTTTGCCTTTTGTTTCGATTTCTGTCGACATTTTCTTTTAGATCAATAATCTATCTGATAGGAAGGAGAAGAAACGAAGAAGAAAAGAACGACTAATAAATAAAAAAAAAACTACGCTTTATGATACTCTAAAATATAATAATAGAAGAATAAAAACAATGTGGTTTAGAGGTAGCTTGTGTCGTTATTTTCGTTCGAGAAGTAACTGAGTGCGTGTATGATTTGAGAAAGAACGATAAAATACGTCAAACAAAGAATCATTTTTCTCTTTTCATTCCGATGATTTTTATTGGTTAAACGGCATTGTAGACTTTATATTGAATAGCCTTCACAATGATTAATATACGATTTTCTTTCGTTCAAATAGAAATTTTTTTTCTTATATATATATATTTTTATATATTTGATAAATACATTTGAAAAGCTTCATAGAGGCAATACGATAAATTATTTGAATTATATTTTTTCCAAATAGATTCTTTTCATCAACAAACAAAATAAACTAGATTTTATTTTTATTCGAATAAAACATGACATCTATATTAAGATTAAAAAAACTCGATATTTATTCTTTCGAAAGTTTATATTTTCGAAATATTGTAATTAAAATATAAAATAAAAAAAATTAAGAGAAATTTTCTTTTTAAATTTTCGAATTATTTTTTCATTGGTTTATTTACTAAAACCAATCCCATAACATCTTCGATTCTATGTCATTATTACAGAAACTCTAAGCTCAATCTCAACAACAGATGTTACTACATTTGATATATCGTTAGAGGAATATTAGTTGAATGAAGAACTCTGAAATAATTCATTATGCAATAGAAAATATCATGCGAAACTAGATTTCTTAGATAAGCAGAAACACGTTTGTTGAAAAAATCGGAAATATAAGAGAAAGTTTTATTTTAGATATCTATTGTAAATCCATGTGATAATCTAATGATATACTCAAAGCATAGGTCTCAGATAACTGAATTTATCTATCGCGAAAAGTAGTTTGTGTTAATTGTTTACGTGTCATTATTGAAATCGAGGTTTAGATAATTAATTATTTGATTTTTCAATGTTTTTAGATAGTTTCTAATAACAAAACATTAATTATGTCGATAGAATCTGTCCTTGAACAACAACGTCGTTATCATGAAGAACGTGAGCGATTAATGGATACAATGACAAAAGAAATGTTGCGTAAAAAAGCTACAGTTCGTTGATTTTTTAATCTTAAATTTTATTTTTTATTTTTTTTTATTTTTTTTTTGTAGCATCGTGAACAAATTAATTCTGAACATATGGTTAAATTATTACTCGATGTAAGCAAATATTTTTCATTTGAAATTTATATTTTGTTTTTTATTTTTAAGCGTTATGGTGAAACATCAAGTCGTTTGAAAGAAACATATGATGATAAAGATGGGTAAGAAAAGAATTGCAAATGATTTATCATTTTTACATATTTTTGTATAAATAGATCTCGTAAAAAAGAAATCGAAGCATTATCGGGACCAAATGAATTTACTGAATTTTATATTCGATTGAAAAATATTCGTCAGTATTATCCAAAAAATCCATCCGAAGAAGTAACATAAGAAAAATCTAAAATAAATTCAATTTTCTAAAATATTTTTGTCTATTAAGATTGCTGTTCCAATGTCAATGGAATACGAACAATTTATGAGACAATTACAAGAAACAGAAGATGGAGAACCATTAGGTAAATAAATAAATATATTTAAAAAGAAATTAATTATTTTTTTTGTAATTTATTTAGCATTAGCGAGTTTTACTGATGAAGAAGGTTATGGTCGTTTTCTTGATTTACATCAATGTTATGAAGTTTATTTAAATGTTAAAGGACTTGATGTAAAATAATTTTTTCTTTCTTTTTCGTTTGAAAAATTAAATATTGAAATTTATTTTTTAGAAATTAGATTATATAACATATTTACAACGATTTGATCGTTTGTATGAAACTTCAAAAGATCGAAAAAATGCTGAATATCGACAATATTTATTTGATCATTTATTTCCTTATCTATTAGATTTTCTTAAACGTTGTAAACCATTGATTAATATTGAAAAAGATTTAATTCATATTAGACAAGATTTTGAAGCCAAATGGGAACAAGGAATTTTTCCTGGTTGGCCGGTAAAATATATCTAAAGATTTCTTTTATCTATATATATATCTTGTTTATTTATAGAAAGAAACAGGTGGAGCATTGGCCAAAGGTGGTGCACCATTAGATCTTAGCGGATTCTCATCATGGGAGGTAAGAAAATCATTTATTTCTACAGAAGAATATCCATGTTGACCAAAATTCTATTTATAAATTGACTAACGAACAAAAATGAATTAAATTATTTTTCTGTTGTAATACTGACTTGAACTTTTATAGATATTTCAAAGGTTTATTGCGTCAGACATTATAGAATAAATATTTACAAAAAACCAGAGAAGTGTCGAAAGCAGTGGGGGCTCGCATAGGTCATATTTATGTAATTCTGTATCATTTAATTGTATTATTTATTTTAGGAATTAGCATCTGTTGGTCTTGATCGATTGAAATCTGCTTTATTAGCACTTGGAATGAAATGTGGAGGGTAATACGATCTTTGTTCGATTTGTAATTATTTATATGAAAAAAATATATTTCTTTTAGAACATTAGAAGAACGTGCTAAACGTTTATTTGCAACAAAAGATAAATCATTTGAAGATCTTGATCCATCGTTATTTATGAAAGATGTCAATAAGACAAAACGTGGAAAGTTCGTTAATTGATTTCTATTTTTTGTTTTTGGGTTTAATAAATAAATATTTTTGTATTATAGTAAAGAAGCTATTCGACATAAAGAAATAGCTGGAATGGAAGCACAAATTTATCGTCTTGTTGATTTATTAAGTGAACAACGTTCAGCTACATTAGAAAATGTTCGTCGTAAACAAGCAAGAGCCGGTGAAGATAATGAAGATGATGAAGATGTTGGTGGAGGTGATATATCCGATGATGATTCTGATCCAGAAGACGATGGTCTTATTTATAATCCAAAAAATTTACCACTCGGATGGGATGGAAAAGTAAGTAAACAAAAAATTTATTTGTTCAAAAAAGAAAAACACATTATTTACTTTATTTTATTAGCCAATTCCTTATTGGCTTTATAAATTACATGGTCTTAATATGTATTTCAATTGTGAAATATGTGGAAATCATACATATCGTGGACCAAAAGCATTTCAACGACATTTTGCTGTAAGTTTTTCGTTATCATTTGGTATTTAAGAAATAAAATATATATATATATGAATTTAGGAATGGCGACATGCACATGGTATGCGATGCTTAGGTATTCCAAATACTGCTCATTTTGCTAATATAATATCAATTGAAGATGCATTATCTTTATGGAATAAATTAAAAAATAATAAAGATGATGAACGATGGAAACCAGAAATGGAGGTTTGTTTAATTATTTTTCTTTTTTACATATATTTAATAAAAGAATTTTTTTTGTATTATAGGAAGAATTTGAAGATTCAATGGGAAATGTTGTTAATAAACGAACATATGATGATCTTCGGAAACAAGGTCTTTTATAAATGAAACAAATAAAATAAATAAACTTTCGTCTTTGGATTTTTTTTTGTTATTGTGTATATTTAAAAGCAAAGAAATATAAAAGTTTATGTGTTACGTGTCAATAACATCTCTTTATAATCTTTTAATTAAAAAAGATAATTGAATTTCTATGAATCAATGATTGTAGTTATTATCTTATATCTTTTGTATATGTATTGATTTTGAAAACTAATACCTCAGATTTTACTATATTATTTTTGGTAATTGTACTTCGATTGTCGTAAATGTTTCTTATATAGATATACATTATTGATCATAAACTTCAGAATAAGTGATATACTATCATGGCTTTCAGAATTTTTCGTCACATTTATACCAAAGATCGAGCTTTAAAAAATTGTGGCATGTGATATCAAATCCAGGTCTATTGACTGAGAAAGTATGGAGTTATGATTTAACTGATACTTGCACTTACATTTATCTGAAAATTATTGTCTACAGTTGTTATGAAAAACAATCGAAATATACAGGAGAAACCACGTTTGATTTTCCAACTACTTCATAGCTTGTGAAGATTGATCGACTTTTCTATAGAGATACTTGTATTGAATCAATGTTGATCTTTCGTTAGTGAATGATGGTCTTCGAATTATATTTCATGATCAAGATAATTGTATGGAGATTCAGTTGTAAACCATTGTCGTGATTGATAAGAAAGATTAGTTTTTAGCATATGCGAAATAATAGAAACTTCAGATACTGTAGAATGAGATAGTTTCATGATTCTTCTTGTCCTTATTGATAATACTATCTCGGTCGATGGAATTTAGATTGGCATAAATGATCGCAGTTTCTCAAGCACGACCTTTGATATAAATTTACTGAAAACTATGACCTGTCGTGTAATTACGACAAGAGATATAAATTTTATAGGTGACAAAGTATTGCTAATTACTCATCAATGATTTCATTTTTATTGAATTATTCTATAACTTCATATCTGTTTTGAAATCTTGATTATAAAAATTTATCGATGTTTTTATAATTTTGCAGGACTCTTATCTTTATAAAAATCATAGTCAAACTTCTTCGAAATTTTTAGCTACTGAAATTGATTATTGAATTCAAATTCTCATTTGATTGAATAAGTCTGGCGCATAAAATTGAAAAATTCTCTCTAAAACTTTTCAACATACTTTTGTTTTTATTTTCGATAAAATTTCTTAAATCGATTATGTATTTTTTTCTTATATATTTCTGAAAATGTCTTCTCAACATTCAACATCATTTATGCTTGTACGTCCATTTCGTGTTCGTTTATCAATTTTAGATCTTCGAACCTCTCAATCATCAAATACAAATGAAACATCAACTATAAATCCTATATTACGTCGTTCAACTACAACTAATCCTCTTATAATTAAATTAAATGAATTTCTTCATGAACAAAATAAATATTCAACAATTAAAAATGATTCAATAACAATATCAGATCGAGATATACATGATCGAGAAATAATTCATCGATTTCTTAATGCTAATAATGAAATTGAAGCACGAAAAATTTTATCACAAATGTGGAAAGAATCACGTTTTTGTGATTTAATGCTTGTTGTTGATGGAAGTGAATATTTAGCACATCGAATCGTTCTTGGTAAAAACAATTCAAAAGAAACGCATTTTTTATAAAATATTTTTATTTTCAGCTGCATTTAGTCGAAAATATCGGTAGAAAAAAATTTCATTAAATATTATTTATCTTGTTTGTTCTCAGAACATTTTTTCGTGAACGTCGTACAGATTTTGTTACACGTACTCATCTACGACATACAACACATAAAGGTCTTCAACTTGTTTTAAATTTTTTATATACTGGTAATTTATTTTATTGAGAAAAATTTTTTTTTTTCGATATGAAATTTTATCTAAAGGTGAATTAACATTAACATTTCGTAATATAAATGAAATATTAAATTGTGCAAAAGAACTTGATATTGAAAAAATTTTTGAAATATGCGAAGAATTTTTATTAACATTTGAAAAACGTCATGTTTTTCGTGTATTAGAATTATCACGACGTTATGGAATGAAAAAAGCGTTTTATCAATCACATTATTATCTATCAAAATATTTTAATCAATGTATTAATATGAAAAATTTTCTTCAATTACCATATACAACGATCTCAAATATATTAGCGGATGAAACAATACTAAATCGAGATGAAACTATTGTTTTAAGTCGAATTTTAAATTGGATTACATCAAATCATGTAGAAAATAATCAAATTATTATGAATTTATTTAAAAAAATTCGATGGAATAAATTAGATTATGAACAACAAAGAGAATGGTTAGCTGCAAGTCATGAATTAGCTGAAAATACAAAATTGACATTATTTATTAAAGAACAAATGATGTATGTTATACGTAGATTTATTATTAATACCAATTAATGGAACTTTGTCCTAGGATGTGGATATTCTCAGTGTTTTATCTAGTGGGTGGGTGGGTAGCACCCATCCGAAATTTCGATTTGCCCACCCAAAGAAATGAGACTGAGGCAAGGCACTGAAAGGTGGCGCCCACCCTACAAAAGAAACCTAGATATTTCTCTACACCATTGGCGGATTTAGGAGAGCAGTTCCCCCCCCCCCTTCAGAATTTTTTTTTGATTTTTTTACAGCAAAAATAGGTTCACGCTACTTCGATTGTACTCAAAAAATAGTTTTCAACCGAATTCGACTTCCCTCCTCTACTCAGCTATCGGTCCTTCCTTTCAAAATCCTAGATCCGTCACTGCTCTACACACTGACCCACACCCACCCTCAACCAGAATTTGTTTAGCATATCTACATATCTGTTAAAAGATTTTAATATTTTAGTCCTGCTTATGAAAAATCAAAACATCGTTCAAGTTCAACATCAAAAACAACTGAACAAAAATTAAATTTAGATAATTCTAGTACTCGTCAAACAAGTCGAAATAAGCATCGTTCTTAATTTCGCTTTTTTCTCTCTCTCATGTAATTCTATGTTTTATATCTTAATCTTCATATTTTATTTAAAAAAAAAAGCTTTATGTTTTGTATAAATTTTCATCTGAAATAAAATAAATAATGACACAAAAAAAAATAGAAATCAATAATGAAATGAAGACATGCTTAAGCCGCAGAATAAAATAAATAATAAACAGATTAACGAAATATCATAACTACTAATCAAGAAACTGAACTTATATCTATATATAAATATTCTAATTCGTATCTTCTATAGGTGAATTTGATTGTATATCATTGGAATTAGTTGGTAATAATGGTGAATGAGATCTTGATATAACAATATTATCATCTGTATTACTAAGTAAATTGTTGTTACGTGATGTACGTAAACGTTCATTCTCTCGTTGTAAAACATCACTTCGTGTACGTTCTTTTTCGTAATCATCACGTGCATTACGAAGCTAAAATAAATCAACATAAAATAAGAATTAGTATATAGATAACAGTAATAATAATAATAATGATTCTATGCTGTTTAGATTTTAAAATGAGAAAAAAAATAAAGTCTACCTCTCGTTGTAATGCTCGTCGTTCTTGTTTAAGTTCCTCTTCAACACGTTCACCATCATCTAGTTGTTGCTTATAACGTGCAAGTTGAGCTTCATAACGTTTATTCTAAAAATAATAAGATTTAGTTATATAATGCTCTTGTTAAGTTTTAGATTATGAACGTGATCAGTTTCAAAATCAAAGATAGGTAGGTATTCTTTAAATAACTTTCGATAGGAACAAGACAGGTTGAAACATATATGAAAAGATTTCTCTAACTGCTTTTTTTGTAGGAAAAATGGAGTAGTAAAATTGTATTTTGATGACTAAAATATCTTATTAGTAGTAATCAGAAATTAAATCTTTCCATATTTTTGCAGCTCATTCTCTGACAGTTCTCGACAACCAATAAATTCGTAAGCTTCGATGCGATTTCATCGCCTCTTTTCAACAGCGAAAATCTCAGCTTTCCATCTTGTTCCTATCAAAAGTCATTCAAAACATCCATCCGCCTTTTATTTTTATATTTCTCATAAATATATACTGATCCAATAAATAATTAATAAACACATCAAACATCTTACTTCTTGTTGTAATGAACCATTATCAGTATCTAATCGTTGTAATCGATTTTGCAAATTCATTATTTCTTTCATTAACTGTTCTGTATGAACAAAAAACACATAAACATAGTTTTTATTTTAAATTCTTAAATTCAATAAAATTACTTTGTTGTTCGGAATCACATTCATCATTCATATTTTGATTATGTAATTCAAGTGAATCTGATCTAGATTCTGTTAATATTCTTAAACGAGTTTTTTCTTCATCTAATTCGGATTTTAATTTAAGTAGTTCATCATATTGTTCATGTTTTTCATTTAAAATTCTTTTGAATTTTTCATCAATTGAGCCATTAGCAAATGAATTAAGTAATATTAATGTTTCTCGTGAATTACTCTCAGTTGGTGAAACAGTTGAAAATTTTTGAACGTCATATTCCTACAAAGAAAAATTTATCATATAAAAAAAATCCGTTTTAAAATTTATTATTTTACTTCAATTAATTTTTCACAATTAGTTAAGATTTCTACAGTTTTATTATAATCTTGTTGAAGATCATTTAATGTTCGTTTTTGTAGATCAAACTCCTTTTATTAAGAAGAAAAAAAGAAAATATGATTTAATTGATTTAGAAATGAATTTTACTCGAGATTTTTCTTTCAATTGTCTTTTAGCTTGATTAGATGTTTCACAATATTCCTCTAATAAATCTTTATAGTTATCAATTTGATAATGTAATGATTGTTTTTCATTGTACATGCTTGAATTAGTTATCATTAATATTTTATATTTTGATTCAAGCTCACTTAATAAACGCTATGTAATTGAAAAAAAAAGAAATTTCAATAAAATAATATTCGATGAAATAAATAAACAAACTCTTAAATCACGTTGTTCAATTGTACGAAGATCAATATCACCATTGAGAAATTTTTGAAGTAATAAAGTATTTGTATTTATTCCTATTGTAGGATTTATATTAATTGTTGCAGACTACATACAAATGATTTTTATTTTTTTTATTAAAATTTTTATTTTGACATTTTACTTTCGTTGATTCGATAGGTGTTGATGATGCATGCGAACTTGTTGGTGAATCATCGTCATCATTCTAAAAGAGAGATTAAGTTTCATGTATGATTCAATAAAAGAGAGCAAATCATTACATCTTGAGCATTTTTTTCTAATTCTTTATGTCGAATTTGACGTGCTTCACGATTTTGTTCACGTTGACGATAAAGACGAAGTTCAGCCTTAAAAAATATCAAAATCAATAATGGCAAAAATAAATGATAAGTACAAACTTCTTTGGCAATAGCATCAAGTGCTTCTTCTTCAGCAAATGATGCATCATTTTGATCATAAACTTTAGTCGGTGTCGTAACACTCGTTGATTCTCGATATCGACTCACTGTTGAAGAACTCATTACATTCCTTTTATCTCAAACAAAAAAAGAAAACACAAAAACAAATCAAAGTCTAATAAAAGAAAAATTTTTTTTTATCATAATAACATTCAATGAAATATATATGTCAGTAATGATAACAAGTAAAGAAAAGAAGAAATAGTTTGTATTTTACAGAATTTAAATCATTTTATTGGAGAAAGATAGAACCATTATAACATTCAATAGATCTGAAAGACTTCTTTTATGAATATCTGAACACAATTTCAAAAGAACTATACTGTACAAAGAAAACCCAATTTGATATATATTCGATATATTACAATAGATGTCATTAGTTGGTGATTAAGTCAAGTCAATTTTCTAAAAATAATTATTAAATTATACAATATCTATCGTTTCTAATATCACCTTTGTAATATATATTTGTTTATTTATCGTATGCTATTATATTTATATTAGTTATTATATTATATAAACCTTCATTTCATAAAAAAAAAAGAAAGTAATGCTTTAGGGAACATGTCAATCGAAAGAAAAACCTTGTCCTAATTGTCATCTCAATATTTTTTATTCTCTAATAATTTGAAGAGCAAGGTAAAATCATCTATAAAAACGTCGTTCTTTTCTTTCATGTATCGATCACGTCGGCCATATGGTTATAGACGACGTTATCCATACTTAGGTCAAGATCGACGACAATTACCTTTTAAAGAAATATTTTGGCGTCTATCATGGCCATATTTATATACATTAGTATTAGCATCATTGATGATTTTATCAACTATAATCATATTTATTCTTGAGATTATTAATTTTTTAAATAATGATAGATTGAATAATCTATCTAATATTACAATAATAGGAGCAAAACTTTCATGTTCAATATTCTTCTTAATTCCTGCAGTTTTTATGTATCTGCTTGGTAATATTTGAAATAATTTTTTTGATAATAATTATCTATTTATTTTTTTAGTATTAGTTTTTGATAGTTCTCGTATTTGGTCAACTTATACACTTATAGCAAATTTAATTGCATTGATATCTATTTGTATTTTAATTGTCGTAGATATATATGAAATAACACCATACAATACAATCAAATCAACCAAAATCAAAATTCTTAAAATTCAATTAGCTGCAGCAATATTAATGTTCTTTTTTCCATTCGGATTTTTAGCTGCTTATATTTATACAGTATTTGTAACACTTTTTCCTCTTCATTCATATACACATTTAGTTTATCCAACTTTTTCTACTCTACCAATGTTTGCTACATATTGATTTTTATATTTAAAATAAAAGAGTATACGGTTACAATCAAGTTTCGTATCTTTTCGATTAGATATTTTATTTAAGAAAAATAAAATAAAAAGTTCACTTGATATTATATCTTGTACTCAATAATACATTGTTGTTTATTTGTTATGTAAATTATATTTGTAATCTTTATTATAATATATATACAAATATCAACTTGTTATTTTAATCCGATGGTATTTAATGTAAAGATTTTTACACATAAACACATTTATTTTTCAAATACTTAATCATGTTTAAAATTATAATTTATTTTTGTCTCTTACCAATATTATTAACAATATGTTCGTATATTCCACCTAAAATAACTATTCAACGTTTATCAAAACAACCAATTATATCTTATTGGTCTAATCAATCACAATTTCGATTTAATTATAATAGTGCTTTTCTTCCATTACCTGATGGTAGTATTGCTCTTGTTGTTCGTGTACAAGATTTATTACCAAATGCTACATCAAATTATGATGTTGGTCCATCAAAATTAGCTATTGTACGTCAATTAAAAAATAGTCTTACTAAATATGAATATGTACATAGTGAACAGATTATCATTGATTCTGATGATCGTCCTTATCAAGTTGCAGGTGTTGAAGATCCTCGAATTACAATTGTAAATGGTACTTATTATTTATATTATACAGCAGTTTATTGGACTCCTTCACATGAATGGAGTGCACATGCTGCATTAGCTACTTGTCAATCAGGTAAAGATCCAACAAAAAAAGAAAATTGGATTTTACATCCAGCATTATTTCCTGAATTATCATGGAGTAAAGCAGCAACATTACTTATTCATAATGCTACACATCAATATGTTTTTTTTAATGAATCTAACATAGAATTAGCATTAGCAGTAACTGATGATTATCTTCATTATGAATATAAAAATAAAACTTTTATTGAAATACGTTCAGATTATTTCGATAGTGAATTAGTTGAACCAGGTCCTGAACCACAACGTTTAAGTGATGGAAATTATTTATTTTTATATAATTCAGCAAGGCGTTTACCTTTACCTAATAATCATTTTAAACCTGATTGGGATCGTGAATATAATTTAGGTTGGGTTATTATGGATGGAAATGATCCAACAAAAATTCTTGCACGAAGCGAACGACCAGTATTAGCACCTGAACTTGATTGGGAACGATGTGATTTTACATCAAAGAAATGGGCTAGAAGAGGTCTTACACCACGAGTTGTTTTTGCTGAAGGATGGAAAAAAATAGCAACGAATCAATTTATTTTATGGTATCAAGGTTGTGACACAGTTACTGGAATAGCAAAAGTTATTGTTGAATTTTAATTATTGATATTATTCAGCATTTTTTGGGAAAATAAAATTATTTAACATTATCTTTTCAAATAGCTCTAGAATTTAGATAGTTTGTCTTATTGTACATGACCATTAAGAACATTAATTACTTTAGCGTTAATGATCTATAGATATAGAAAAATCTTTATATTTTCAAGTTTAATTCAAACAAACAAATAATCTATATAACACGTTTCTATAAATAGCGTCTGGTCGTTCTTTTGACTGATGATAAAAAAAATTGTCAACTAGAATACATACTTTTAATTGTGTCATTCTTATTTCTCAAAAGTTTCCTTTGTAAGTTATTTATATATTTTCTAATATTTCTAGTCGGTATTTATATTATACTGTGTAATTATATGTTATTCGTCTAAAATTTATTTAAAGCGCAATACTAAAGTTAGTTAAATAACTTCTTTTGTCTTGATTATCAGCATAGAAATAATATTTCAAACAATTTAATCGAATTAATCATCGTTATTTTTACTGAATAATCTTTTTTGAATTATTCTATTATTAATTTTAATCAAGAAGATTATGACGTTCTAATACGTGAATTACATAACACATTTATACTTGAAAATAATCTTCCGAGAATAGACGTATGTGTATTCTAATTACCTTGTAAAATTCATTTAAATTGCATAAAACTAGAGACACAAGTTGTAATAGATCTTATACGAAACACTTTTTCTTATGATAAATATAGAATGAATGATTTAGATTTGATAGAACGTTAAAACAGCCATAGTTCTTAATATCATCATTAACATTAATGAACTAATATATAAATAGAATGAGTAAAGATTGTAAAAAGTCAAAGCTCAATAAAAATTATATTGAAATTCTATACAAAAAAAAAATACAATGAATATATATAAAGACGTAAGACAAATAATGTAAATGTCTAATGTATTATTTATAGTTGTCTATATAGACAAGATTCAGTTACATCAGTGTTCTACGCATTCTTATCTTCTTAGATTCCATCGATTCCTTCTTTTCTGCTGTAAGAGTGCAACTAATATAGTACGACTTAGAATCTTTTTCAAAGGTCAAAAAAACAATTTTTTCCTGTTCTATCACTGATTTTTCTCGTCATTTTACCGTCTACTTCTGCACTATCGCTGCATATTACGAAACATATTTCTGTAAGGCGTTGTTTTTTACATTTATCAGGCCATTTTTCTAACAGAGCAATACGTTCATTTTTCAGATATTATAAAGAAAACTACAATGAATAAAGATTTAATTATTGTACGGCAAACAACAACAAGTTTACGTGATTGTAAAGTTTGTGGAGCATCAGCTCGTTATTCTTATTATGGAGCGATTGTCTGTCAGTCATGTAAAATGTTCTTTCGACGCCATGGATTAACTGAACAGGTAAACTATAATTTGAAATACCTTTCGCAAATTTTACTTTTTCCTATTGATTTATTTAGACACTAAATAAATGTGTGTATGATAATAAATGTGAAATTAATATAAGCAATCGTCGGAAATGTTTACCATGTCGACTTGCTAAATGTTTTGCTAATGGAATGCATACCGAAATGTTAAGATCTTGTCATTCTCATAATAATACTCTAACTAAAAAGAGAAAATTAATTGATGGTACAATATCGATAATATCAACACCTGCACAGATAATAAATAAAACATCTCCACCTGAACAGGTAAAATATTTTCATATGTTTCATGAAAAAAAATAGTTTCCCATCTCTCCTTCTGTTGTAATACCTAACAATTATCTATTTGTAAGTTCATCGATGTGTCAAAAGAAGAATCATCTTAAAATCTATATATTTTTGTCGAGCTAATACATGCGGCTTTTTTTCTAATTAAAGTTTTGCAGAAAAGAATGCAATCTGTGAATTGAAATTCATCACATATACTTTAGGAGAGATTAGATCAACGGAAATAGTTTATGATTATATTTGAATTTTGTTCATTCAGATTTCAACTTTATCTTATGATCAATGGAATCTTCTTTCAACATTAGTTTATTCGTTTGATGAACATAGTCGTTATTCATTAGCTGAACAATTTATCGAAGATCAAAATACATTACCGGTTAAGTTACGATTCAAACATTCGATAGTTACTGATTTTTTTACATCAGTTATGAGTAGAATTCAACTTGTATATGAAAAACATCGTGATATTCTTTCATTATCTCATGATGATCGTAGTATTTTGTTTCGAAAAACAGTTGAATATACATCGAGTATAAGTGGAATCTATATCTTACGACAAACAAAATTATTAGATGATTTTACTTTTTCAAAATCTTCGGAAATTATTTTTCAACCAATTGGAATGATTTTTATAAAACGTATTATTGATCAACTTGATCATAATGATACATTTATTAAATTAATATTTGCAGTTATTGCTTTTTCAACAATAAATTATACAGTTTATAGGCAATCGACTTCAATGAGTTTAATAAATATTAAATCAATTTTGTCTATACAAGATATATATGTTAAATTAACATGGCAATATCTATTAAATCAATGTAATCATACTCAAGCTGTTTTACGTTTTACAAAAGTAATACGATGTTTACTTCTAGTTATTAGTATGACTGTTGAAGCACATGAATCGAAAGAATTTACTAAAATGATTAATTCTGTTATTGAACAAACTCAACAAACATTTTGTTATTAATTACAAAATTTTTTTTTTTTTGTTTTATTTTTATGTATATTTTAATGTGAGATGATAACGCCATTTTATTTTTTATGAGATAAACTGTGATTCGAAAATTAAAACGAAAACATTAAGAAGGATATTATTTTTTTTTGAAGAATCTTCCGATTTATTAATGAAAAAGTCGTTCCATTCGTATAAATAAATTCAAATCATCAATGTATTGTATATTTATAAATACTATTAATGAAGTATACATGACAGATCCTGAAGTAAAAAAATGAATTTCGAATTCTTATCGCTATTCGTTAGTTTAATTATTGATATGAAAATATAATTTAAGAAAAATTAAATTTTGCTCTATTCTTATGACATACAATCAAATATATTTATCTTTTTCTAAACATGATCTCAAAAATTGATAGTATTTTTTAAATGATTTATCATGTATTTTATCGCATCTGACATTTAATGGCAACGCGTGTAGTTCATTAAGTGCATTTTGAAGATATAACGCATTGTTTAAGTCTTATCGTATATATGGGAGAAAATATAAATTTATTTAGTATTTGCGTACATAAGAAATCTGATTTGTATTCACGTGTAAAGATGATTGAATCAAAATATATTAATTATTGATGTTGAAGTTATTCATATTCCCTATTGAATTTTAATATTATTATATTTCAATGAAGGAGATCGATGAAATTCTATTTGTTGTTTATATGATTTATGTATGGCATGTTTATAAGATTTCGTGTGTCATTTGAAAGTAATCAACCAGCCTATATAAATATCTTATATATACGATAGAATACAAAAGAATCACTGATCAGGATAAAAATTATAAATATTTTAATTAGCTTAAAGGAATTATATTTTTTATATTGTTTACTATTTATTATAATAATGGTAAAACTAATGACCCATTTTATATAGGACAGTGAGTGATTTTATTTATATAAATAATTCAAAAGTTTGATCTGTTAATAAGTTATATATGTAAAATCTAATTTTAACTTCACAAACATCTTATATTAATCCTTTTGCCATACAGATCAACGATCGAGGTTTAATTCAAGAATTTCTTCTTACAATAGGTCAAAAAAACAATTCCTTCTGTCCTGTGCTCCATTTCTTTTGTTATTATGTCGATTATTTATGCACTTAAACCATAAAGTATAATATGTGTCTGCTATGTTTTCTTTCTTAAATTTCTCAACTTAATTTTCTATTGAAGAGAGATTTTGCAGTTCCAAACTTGATAAGTATATAACCAGCTCCTAGGCAATCAAAATTTTTTTATCACTAGACAATGAATATGAAACTAATATAAGTAATTATCGTAAAGATTTTTGTCATGTAGACTTGTTAAATGTTTTGCTAGTGGAATTCATACAGAAATATTAAAATCTTCTTAGTCGAAATCAAAGACTGTTTTCTATCTTTCCTTTTTTCGTAGCATCCAGGAACTGTCTATCCTCTATATGTAAGCCCATCTATATGTGAAAAGAAGATATTAAAAAATTAATAATATGAAAGTATCTTAAATATAAAGATTGTTTTACACATAATTTTGTAAAGTATATTTAATTGCTCGATGGTTTGCTTTGATTATTTTTCTACAGAAAGTTATTGGTATTATATCATTCAAAACTAACAAACACAGTTTCAATCGCGACTATAGAAAGGATCAAAGTCCTAACATTGATTTAAAGTTTATTGGATGAAGAATTCTAATTCCCGGATGTTATGATTTCAACTTTGTCAAATAAAAGGAAGAAGCTATCAATAATAATGAGAATATTAAGAAGTTTTACAACATTTCTATCATTATGCATAAAAAATTCATTTGTCTTTCTCCATTTATGAAACCATTTAAAAAATAACTTATAGAAATATTTTCTTGTGTATGAAAACATTTAGTAAGATATACTTATCTTTCTATCGTCCAAAGATAGAAAAAAAAAGAAAATAATACATTTCCACTAATATTTCTCTTGAAGAAAGAAAAAGAGGTTGTGCCATACTTCGTACAACATTGAGAAATATGTTGTAATGCAGATCAGTCTAACTCAATAAAGTATTTTATTGTTACCCAATAATTGGTTCGTCGATTAAAACGTGCTATAGATAATTGTAAATATATATTGATCTATGAACTATTTATTAACAAGTCCTGTTTCTTCGACTTCAACAGTTTTATTTCATTCGTTAGAGTAGTACATAATTTAATGATGCAAGTGAATGATGTTTTTCTGTGGTGACTATGATCTATTTTATCGGTCTTTTAGAATTTTTCTATGATTTGTGTCTGGATGATTGATATTAATTAGATAAAAGTATTATATATAAAAAAAGAAGCTAAATATAGCCCTAAACAGTACTATGTTAAGCTTCTGATACAGTGGTGAGTTCATAACTACCTGAAGATTCACCACTACGACTCCAATGAGGAAATCGATCGAAGATAACACCAAGCACTCCAGTAGATCTTCTCATCCAAACAAGCGTAACAATAAATGCAATCCATACAATTGGAATGATTGTAGCCATAACAATGATATGACTTTTTTCGCGAGGAGGAATCTTTGCATACGAAGATATAACGACATTTTCGAGTGATGCTATTGTACTGGTTTTTAATGTAGTAATTCCTGTTGTAGTCTGCTCCGAAATTGATGTTGTTGTTGACTGAACTAGTAGAGTCGTTGTTGTTGTTGTTGTTATCGGCGTAACAGTAATTAGTTCATCTTCTACACGAGATGCAATGCAGATATGTTTTCACATGTTTTAATCGATACATACCACAACTGCCTTGATGTATTGATATTTCATCTAATCCAACATTAGGTGCTCCAGTGATAGATGTTCCCTGTACTTCGAAATAAATCTTTAACAAATATAAATAAAAGAATTTCAATAATATGTATTTTCAAAAGTATCATACTTTATAGCCGAGTGCTTCAGTATTGAATGATATTCGTCGTAATATCCATCCATTGAATGGACTACTCGTAACAGAATCAATGATCACACTTCCACCATCTACTTCTTCCTTACGAATATTGATGATTTTTTGACCAACATTACCCATATAATAATAATAAGTAAGACATTGTTGATCTTTCCCATTTATTCCACCAGTTTCAGTTTTTAATTGAAATTTTCTTGTCTGATTATTATTTAATGCTATATTACCAAATCTACCTGAAAAAAAATTCAAATAGACAAAGTTATATTGTGAACAAATATCTATTGCATATTAGACTAACCAGTTGCACATGTACTATTTGGACTACTTGCTGTTGGACAGTAGCCTCTGTTACAAAAATACATATCCCACGTGAAAGTACCAACTTTATAAGGTAAAACACACAGTTCTCCATTTGCTGTTGGTTTTACTACATAAAATTAAAAAAATGGCGTTTATATGATGAATAAGAATATATTGATTTTGTGGGTTACCAATTGCGGAGACATCCGATAAAGCTCCATTTGGTTCTGACGGAGCTGCGACATTCACACTTCCAATAGGATTTAATGTTGACATAAAACAATTTCCATTTATACCATCGAAATTACATTGATATAATACTTGCGTATGTATACTTGAAATGGAAATGAAAACTTAAAACAATAATAGATAGTAAAAATGTTGAACATAATTGTATTTGTAAAGATCTTACTAAAATAAAAAAGATGAAAAAATTGCCACATATCTTTAGTGTGTACTTATGAAATGTAAATTTTTATTATATTCATCATACATTACTTTGTCATCTGTTATACCTGAGATAGTAAATATTGTATGTTATCTTTGATCAACATAAACACAAAAACTATCTTTTTCATATTTCTTTATCACTTCTATATAATTTGATTTAGATTTAAAATAACAAAAGTATTTCTTGCATAAACATCTAACCATTTATATATTGCCAAATATTTATACAATAATTAACCTGATTTTATGTGAATGAATATTTTGTTAACTTGGTTTTTTTTCAATAACAAGAATTTTAAGTTTTAGTATTATTTAAATTTACTTAATAAAAAGATCTGAGATGCATTTTACTCAACATTTATTTCATGTGTATGTTTGTATGTTATCTTGTAAAGATTATTGATCTTAAGAGCTATTTGTTTTATCAGCCAATCATCTAACGTGTATTCAGAAAGTCTTTGCATAAGATCGTATTGAACATTGGGAGCAAACCAGTTACTACTGTTCAGTTACACCCTATACTGTATATTTTTTAAGACATTCTCTTTTCAATCTTGTCATTTTTCAAAAAAAGAACCGTATCAACGTCAATTACACCAATATAGAAAAACTTTTTGATGCTCTATCAATGAATGCATGAATAACTGAATAGTGATAGCGGGCTTGCGTCCAATTTTCAATATCACTTTGTGAAAAGACTTTCTGAGCACAGCTTATTTGATTCGCCACAGTATTGTAAAGCTTGAAAATGCAAGTGAACAATGTTTTCCTGCGGTGATTGTGGTCTTTTTCTAAGCCACATTTTTGTCCCGTATATTTACTCTCCATACATTGTGTAAACACTAAAAGGACTCGATATTTTTATCATTCTCCTAAAACCATTCTGTGGTATATGCCTGACTGATAAATATTTATTAACTAATAGTATTATATATAAAAAAAAAGAAGATAAATATAGTCCTAAACAGTACTATCTTAAGCTTCTGATACAGTAGTTAGTTCATAGCTGCCTGAAGATTCACCACTACGACTCCAATGAGGAAACAGATCGAAGACACCACCAAGCACTCCAGTAGATCTTCTCATCCAAACAAGCGTAATAA